TCACACAACCATTGCAGCACCCCCAAGATCACGTGATCAAAATTTGGATGCTTGGCAACTGACTCATATTTATGACGGTTGCAGTGCCCCAGGGTCATGTGATCAACTTTTGTGACCTTCTGACAAGCAAAGCCAATGAGGAAGCCAGATTCCCTTAAAATCATGTTACTAATTTAATAACCACGGTGATTCACCTAAGAACTGGATCAAGAAACATCATAAAATGGGACCAAACTAACTCAACAAATATGTCACTGAGCAGCAGAAATTTTGGGCTCCACTGTGGTCATGTATCAAGGACTACCTGGATAAATTGGATAAATAAAATAATAAAATAAGCACTAGCTGAGCTACTGTATATAAACACAAAACAAGCTCCACATTCACTAACACTGATGATGCTACCTAGTTGGGTAATGAAACATCTGCAAGCCAACAACCAAGCTCACCGAGCACCCAGGATTCCACAGAAAAATAAATTTCCCACATCATCCAGACAGAACCTCTAGGAATTGATCAAGAATCCTTTTCTTTTAAGTAAAGTTTACTTTAGTTCAGGATTATACAAGTATCTTCTTTTTGTTGCAGACAGGCAATCATAGAAACATTTCTGATGAAGTTGAGTTCTAGTTCATTATTGTTTTTGGTATACACAATGCCTTTCATATACAGAATACAAATGAAAACTGAATAGACATTCTATGCAAGTTGAAGCATAAGCCTTGCTTTACATGAATTAGCTAATCATAGCTACTCAGATATTTAACTTGTGAATGGTAAACTTCAGATTATTTTTAGTGGTTGAATTTATGTATTTTTATTTACTTACAGCATAAATACTACAGAAATAACCAATGCCCTACCCAGGCATACTGGACTGAATCAAGCTTTGCACACTGTAGAATTTCTCTTGTTATGGGGAGTGGTGGATAATTTCAATTGATGAAAACTCCAAGAGAATAGACAGCACTCTGCAAAAATAGCTCACCTTTCTTCCTTCACAAAGTTTAGAACATAAAAATAGCCCAACTAGATCAAACCAAGGGGCATTTAAATCCAGCTTATTTTTCCAGTGGCTACTCAGATGCCACTGGGGTAGTCATGAACAAGAGATGATATATCCCTCTCCGTAGTTGTTACTCTGTGCCTAGAATTTGGAAATATATTGGCCTGAGCCCAGAAGTAATATTCAAGATTAGTAGATCTTCATATATATACACCTGTCCTTCATAAATTTATTCAGTCCCCTTTTAAAGCCACTCAAGTTAGTAATTTATCCAGTTTTTCTGAGAATGAATTCTGCAGATAAATTCTGCAATGTATGAAAAATACTTTTATTTGAATTCTCCTTCTAATCAGGTTCATTGGATGACCTCTGGTCCTGGGCTTTTGAGAAAGAAAAACTCTCCATGTGCACTTTTGCCATATCGTGCTTGATTTTAAATACTTGTATCACGTACCTACTGACAAATCATTTCAAGAGTTTCAAATGTTCCATCTGTTTAGTCTTGAATTCCATGTTTTTTGCTTGCAGAACAGCAAGTCTGGAGTGTAACCATTGCTACTACAATCGTGTTGGGAGCGCTGATGCACTTCTGGGTTGAAAGGATTGAAATGGACATCACTGTTGCTTGGGGGATGCCCAGTTGGGGCCTCTTTTCACATCCCCGTTAAGTTGCCCACTGAAGAGGTGTCCATTTATGTGCACACAGTTGCCTGCTTTTGAACTGCTGAGTCGGCAAAAGCTGAAGAGTGTGACGAAGCGCACCTCGTCCCGTAGCAGAAACGAGATATTGAACGTGAGCCTCCCGATTGTCAGCCCAGCATCCTAACCTCATGAACCACCATACTCCTTAGCTCAGTGTTTCCCAAACTTGACAATTTTAAGGCATGTGGACTTCAACTCCCAGAATTCCACAGCCAGCAATGCTGGCTGTGGAATTCTGGGAGTTGAAGTCCACATGCCTTAAAATTGTCAAGTTTGGGAAACACTGCTTTAGCTCAACCATTTTACTCTGGCCTTCCCATCCATTCCTCTTTTAGTTATTCAAGATGTCTCAGTAAAGAAATTAAACAGAAAGGAAAAGACATTCTGGCTCTACTCACCAGTTAAAAGCAATAATTGCATAGGCATAGATTTTTCCTCTCTTGTACCAGTTGCAGAATTCATTGGAATATTATAGGTTATCTCTCACCCTGGCTAAAGACTATAAACATGCATATGTGTGCAAAATAGGGTTTTTTTCTCATTAATGTTAAGGAAATAAAATTGTATTTCAGTTTCCTTAATATATGCTGCAACCCAGCATTTTTATATACTACCATGCCAATCCATTTGGTTTTTTTTTTTTTTAATATTCAAACAACTGGGTTATTGTTCTCTATCCCTGAACACTGAAAGGAAATGTGTGCGGACCAGGAATACTCCTAAAACACAGCCGAGGCACCTATGTAATCTCAAATTCAGAGGAATGAAATCACGTGAAAGCAGATGGAAGCCAGCCAGAATAGCCTAATGAGAATTAGATTGTGTGATAATGAAGTGGTAACGATATGCAGTAATGCTATGTATCAGAGGGAACAGAACATCCCAATATAATTGGCTTTTTCTTAAGTTGTCGGAGATACTTCTAAATTAAAACCAATATACAAATCCAATCCAATGGATTTAAAATGTCAAGTAAAATTGCAATTCTATTTTGCTTAAAGTGTTATATCTTCCAAGGTTTAAATACACTGAATTAAATACAGATAATCTGTGACTTTGGCCACCTAATGAGTACTTTGGCCACCTAATGAGAAGGAAGGATTCACTGGAGAAGGGCCAAATGCTGGGAAAGATTGAGGGCAATAGAAGAAGGGGACGACAGAGAATGAGATGGCTGGATGGAGTCACTGAAGCAGTAGGTGTGAATTTAAATGGACTCCAGAAGATGGTAGAGGACAGGAAGACCTGGAGGAATATTGTCCATGGGGTCGCGATGGGTCGGACACAACTTCGCAATTAACAACAACAACAATCTGTGATATGGACTCTACTCACAGAACTCTACTCACTGAAGGATTGATTCCCACTCTGACCCCTGTACATCTTCCTGAAAATTTAGAAGATCCTGTGGAATGTGAGAGGCAACATATTATTTCGTGTATGGCATTTGTACATCGAGAGCCAGGGAATCTACAGTTATTACAGATTGCTAGTTCGTTTAGTTTATTTATTTATTTATTTGAGACTTATATACCGCTTTAAGTGCAAGCACTCCCTAAGCGGTGTACACCAGTAAGCAATGTATATATATATTTACATTGCCCCCAACAATCTGGGTCATTTTACCTACCCCGGAAGGATGGAAGGCTGAGTCAACCTTGAGCCAGTGAGATTTGAACCGCTGACCTGCTGAACAGTCAGCTAAGGTGGCCTGCAGTACTGCACTCTAACTGCTGCACCACCTCGGCTCTTTTTATTTAGTTATTTATTTAGTTCATGCTTGCATGCTACCCAGGGTGCAACGCAGGGGGGCTGCACACAGGCAACAGTGAGGGGGCATAGAGAACCAACTAAACAATATCATCATAAATGTTGTTCTGTAATATCTGTTGACCTTAGTCAAAACTAGACTCTCTGTATCAATGGATAAGCAGTTCTGAATCCCATTCACAATACTTTTTACATTCTGTCATGCTAAATGTAATAACTCTTATGTTGTAATAATAATTTGACATATATCACTCCAAAAACAGAATTTTTCATTCTAGCTTGCTACTTTTGCATATGTTTTGATGTACTTCCTTTGCTTACTAGTTTTGAAACAGTGGTTGGAACTGTATTGTGTAGTGAGAAAACACCTGCTTCTGAGGAAGTCAGTAATCACATAACAATAACTTCAATTACAGTGATTTATAGAATACAACTTTTTTTCCTAGTGAACTACTGGTATTTTAGTGTTAATACAGCAACCATTGAGAACCCAGGCTTAGTTCATAGCATTAAATTCCAAAGAGCCTCTTCATTTATATTTTAATTTTGCCATGAAATGTTATGAAATGGCAACTCCAAAGCTGGATTTGTATGTTGTGCTCAACAGTGCATATGTAGTTTTTCTGATTTTTTTGCTTACCTCAATGCGTAAAACTTTGGTTCCGTTTAAAATGGACAATGTGTAAAGGGCAAGGTAGAGACTGCAGGAACCAATTTACTGAAAAGAGCAAAACCAAAATATTCTGGCTTTTCTTCATATCTTAAGATTGAAATTCTTCCCTCTTCCATTTTTGCCTCTATTCCCTGAAATAATCCGCAGTTAATTGTTTTGGGGAAATTTAACCTACAGCAGAGATCTGGACTGCAAACCTTCAGACAGCTACTACATGGTAGCAAAGAATTAGAATATTCTACATCTTTTAAAATCTTTTGTAATTTTAATGTTTTAATACTTACAATTGTTTTTCTATCTGTATGTTTTTTTACACGGTAAGCCACTCAGTCACCATGAACCACAAGATGAGCAGCATATAAATTTAATAAATAATCTGTAGCCTAGTGCAAGTGAAACAGAAGCATTACGATTCCCACAAATATGCTATTTCCATTTTTAAATCCTACCAAACTGCCAAGCTTATGTACAATCAACCCCAAAAATATGAATTCTGGATTGGTTTAAAGGAGAGGAGGGGCAATACCAGAGATGAAATCCAGAAGCTTCATCCATGTTAATCCTAATTTTTAGAATTGAGGGGGAAAAAAAATCACAAATACCAAAATGTGACAATTTTATCACCAAAATTTGGCAATGCAGAATGCTGAGAAGTGACAGGATTGCCCATTCCTGGTTTTTACTTTAATATGTTGTGTAAATCTATTCAACAAATTGTAGTTACACGCAATCTGGCTTACTGTGTGAATTAAGAATCCAGTATGAACTGGAAAATATATTAACAGGTTTTTTTTTAAATGAAGAGTCTACAAGTTACATACCAAGCTTATAAAACCATCACTCAACATGTTTAACTAAAGAGCATTTATTTTATTGTTCGCTATGATTTTTCACTGCCTCCAAGTAATACTATTGATCTCCCCTTTTCTGAGGAGTACATATAGCAACGATGGTGAAGGAGATGTGAATAATCTTGAGGACCCTGAACAAAATAAAACTAAGTAAAGTGAAAAATTAAAAACTAAACTCATGTAAAAGACATTTTCTTCTGGAAATGAACAAGTCTCTTACAGTTCTAACTGACTCAGTCCTAGTCATAGGCTTATAAGAATGAACAGTGGACTACAATACAAGACTTTCACTACAGAATGCTGTACATGCCCCTCCCTCAGTGCCCCATTATTTGCTTGCTTGCTGAGCTTGTCTGCGGAGAAGAACATAGATCTTCTCCTTTATCCAATCTTTATTGTACGGCTGGTATGTCTGAGTATCGGCACGATAGCTGGTAGGAAAAAAAACAGGTTCATATTTTTTAATATTGCTTTCCATCATACATTTCTGCAAAACATTTTCCTAAAACCAGTAATTCCCAACATTATGAAATCCCCTATTTCCAAAAACAATTATTTTGTGTTTCTGAAGTAACAATTATTTTCTTGAATGTAATTTTACAACAGTTTAGGCAGAAATTATATTTCATTCTATTTCAATATGTAATAAAATATGTAATAAAACCAACACGTTTACTCATTTTTTTAAAAAAAGTTTAAGCTCTTTGAATTTTATTGTAGACATATACCATCAGTATAGTATAGCATGTCATAAAAGGTGCAGTATTAGATGTATCATTTAGACTGTTATGGCTACAGAAGATTATATATTTGTTTATTTAAAAGACTTATACGAGTCTTTATATATTTATATATTTACTTGCCCAATCAGCAAAATACATCTCTGGGCAGTTGGCAATATAATATGACATGCATGCCCTCTGGTGGCTTCCTAAAATCTGAGCACTCAATGACAAAAGAGAAAAAAAATCAGAATAATATTAGCTATCTTTTTAAGGAACTTAAAATTTAAAGCACTGTTGAACAGTTGTTTTGTCTTTACAAGGGAATGCATTTGGAAAGGTCTACTATCACAACACTGGATTTAGCAATTAGTATACAATAGATTCATAAAAGAATATAATAGTAAATTATAAAACTACCCAAGCATTGGTTCTACAATGGTAAATGAAAATTAGAGTGAGTTTTGTGAGATGGGTGGCGATATTAATTTGATACTAAATACCTTCTAGATCAGGGGTGTCAAACTCAATTTCATTGAAGGCAGCATCAGCATTGCAGTTGCCCTCGGGGGAAGGGTGTGGCCAGGGTGGGTGCGGCCTACTGGGTGGGCATGGTCAGCTCTACATCGTTCACATCAAGGGTGCCTGTGCGGGCCTGGGCAGAAGTGGGACAGATCTGAGGGTCTCTGGCAGAAGGGGTGGGACCAGGGCAAGTGCCAAGGCATGGTCCATTTATTCATTCCTCACAAAGGGTGACACCTCCCCAGCACGCACCCAGGGGGCGGGGGCGACGCGGCAGGGGCTGGTTCCTTGCTGTTTCTAGACGGCCTTGTGGAGCTAAGACAATTGTACATTGGCTTCCGGTTGGCCTGGACCAGGGTCAAGGCAGCGGGGGCCGTTCTCTCACTGTTTCCAGGATGGCTTCGCGGGCCACATGAGACCACTTCATGGGCCGCATCCAGCCCCCGGGCCTTGTGTTTGACATGTCTGTTCTAATCAAAGCAGTATCAGATATATTTCCTTCAAAAACATTTACATTCAGAGTAATATTAAATATCTCACACATATTAATTCAAGAGGTAGAAGCAAGGACCAGTGATATTAAAAATCTAATTACATATGTGCAAACCAGCATATATATTTACAGTAGAAGTAAAACTGTAGAAATTAAATATGATACATACACAAGGCAGCTAAGGTCAGCCAAATCATCGATGAAATCAAATAACTGGCTAATATCATATGTAATGGAAGGGCTGTTAGGATTCATTCTCTTCAGGTGTTCTTCATACATTTTACAGACTCCTAAAAATAAAAGGATGATGTTTAGCAGTTACATTACACATTTGTGATGCCTAGTTGTCAGACTACTTGAATGTTAAGAAATACAATTAGAAGAGAAAAATGCTAAAGTTAGGAATTAATGTTAAAAGGCAATAGATTCACCTATTAGGTGATAAATATATAAACACAGCATAAAATACCTTTACAATTTACAACCTTTACAACCAAAGCACCTGAAGGCAGGACAAGAAGCAACGGATGGAAACTAATCAAAGAGAGAAGCAGCCTAGAACTAAGGAGAAATTTCCTGTCAGTTAGAAAATTAATCAGTGGAATAACCTGCCTCCAGAAGTTGTGAATGCTCCAACACTGGAAATTTTTAAGAAGAGACTGGACAACCATTTGTCTGAAATGGTATAGGTTCTCCTGTTTGAGCAGAGAGCTGGACTAGAAGATCCAAGGTCCGTTCCAGCTTTATTCTATTCTATTCTATTCTATTCTATTCTATTCTATTCTATTCATTTTCTGTTCTGTTCCGTTCCATTCTGTAAGGAGTGAACCTTACTAAATATCATCTCATCTCATCTGGAACAGAATTGAATTGGAAGGGACCTTGGAGGTCTTCTAGTCCAGCCCCCCACTTAAGCAGGAGAATCTATACCATTTCAGACAACTGACTGTCTAGTCTCTTCTTAAAAATCTCCAGTGATGGAACACCCACAATTTCTAGAGGCAAGCTGTTCCACTGGTTAATTGTCTCACTGTCAGGAAATTTCTCCTTAATTCTAGGTTGCTTCTCTCTTTAGGCAGTTTCCAGCCATTGTTTCTTGTCTTACCCTCTGGTGCTTTGGAGAATAGTTTGATGCCCTCTTCTTTGTGGCAGCCCCTCAAATACTGGAATACTGTTTCTTCTTTTTTTTTTTTTTTAGACTAGCCAAACCCAAGTCCTGCAGCTGTTCTCCAGGCCTTTGATTATTTTAGTTGCTCTTTTCTAAACTTTTTCCAAGGTCTCAACATCTTTTTTGTACTATGGTGACCAAAATTAGTTGCAGTATTCCAGGTGTAGTCTTACTAGGGTTTTATAAAGCGGTATTAATACTTTGCATGTTCTTGATTCTATGCCTCTGTTTATACAACCCAGGATTATATTAGCTTTTTTGGCTGCTGCTGCACACTGCTGGCTCATAGTCAAGTGATCGTCCACTAGGACTCCAAGGTCCCTCTCACAGTTTCTATTTTTGAGCCAGGTCTCGCCTAATCTGTATTTAAACCTTTGATTTTTCCTGCCTAAATGTAAAAATTTGCTTTTTTCCACATTAAAATTCATTTTGTTGGATAGGGCCCATTGTTCAAGTTTGTCAAGATCTTTTTGGATCCTGAGCTTGTCTTCTGGGATGTGTCTATTTCTGCATCACTGACTATTGTGCCCAAAGCTGAGGGGTATTGGGGTTCATAAGATATCCTTGTGTCCAACTGCTAGAGCAGGGATCATCAATGACATTTACTTCATGAATCTAATAAAAGGTACAGACTTTACAACTGTGCAATACCTTCAACTTGATTTCAAACCAGTGTTTCTAAGCACATAGAAGGAGCTCTCTGAAGTTAATTACAGGTAGTCTTTGACTTAGGACCACAATTGAGTCCAAAATTTCTGTTAAGTGAGACATTTGTTAAGTGAATTTTACCCCATTTTATGACCTTTGTTGCCTCAGTTGTTAAGTGAATCACTGCAGATTCACAAGTTAGTAACCCAGTTGTTAAGTGAATCTGGCTTCCTGATGGACTTTGCTTGTCAGAAGGTCGCAAAAGGTGATCACGTGATCTTGGGACACAGTAACAGTCATAAATATGAACCAGTTCCCAAGCTTCTGAATTTTGATCACATGATCATGGACACGTTGGAAAGGTTGTAACTGTGAAAAATGGTCATAAGTCACTTTTTCAGTTCTGTTATTGTCACTTTGAACAGTCACTAAACTGTTGTAAATTGAGGACTACTTGTATTATTTTAATTGGCACATAGTACAAGAGTACAAGACTTATTAGCTATTTTCCTGCAAATGACTGATCTCATTCTATCAATGAAGTCCCCTTTAAAACTCATTTAAAGTTTAAAAAATTACCTTCCATACATTCATTTACAGATTCATAATCTGCATAAGTCCTGCCTTCAGGTCGTTTGGTAGGCTGAACAAGGAGAATTGTATGAGACTGAAAAGAAAAGACAACAATCTTAAAACAGCATCAACAAATATTGCAGAAGCCTTAGAGCCCCATTAAAAGTTAGATCTGTCAAATCCAAATATTTTTGTTCCTGCACACACGCTATTTTTACATACAGAAATCCATGTAGTTTTAGTCTGATGCATACATACCATGGGGAGATTCATCCTTCCGTTTCAGCAACTAGCCGCTGACATGGTTCTAGATCTATTTTCCCCCAGAACAATTAGAATTTAAAAAAAAAAACATTGTAAAGCCCGACTGATTATAATTATGCTGTTACTACTCCTATTCGTTTTATCATCAGGATTTCTGTATGTTTGATTTTCTGCAATTCACTTTTAAATATTTTTTTTAAAAAAAAAAAACAGGCGACAAACGTCCCAATCATTTCTCTCTGCCTAAAGGGACCGTTACTTCTCCGCTCAAGGCGGGCCTTTTTCTTTGTGTTTGGCAAATACAAGGAGAGTGGCAAGAGACAAAAAAATCTTCAGAAGAACTTCGCACGGAGTTGGATGCGACGCTGGCATCTCCTTCCGCGTAGCCCCTGTGACCATCCCTTCGAGGGCGGGTTGGGACTCTGGAGGCTTCGTCCTCCTGGGAACAGTGCAGGGTCTCTCGATGATGAGAGAGGAAGCGAAAGGGATCCCATTCTCAAAAAGCGTAAGCAGTTAACTGACAGACCTCCCATCGCCGCCATGGCCACCTCAGGCCCACTGCAAAGTAGCAGCGGGACGAAGCTGTTTATTCTTACGGACCCCTTAACTTTTTTGCAAATAATTTCAGCCGCCTTTTCATGCCTCAGCCTAATAAAACGAGGGCCGCACACGCTTTATCTCCTTTTTACTCACCATGGCGACTCGTTCCGCTCGGCTCAGGCGCGAAGCACAAACTCCCAACGACGCCTCTACCACAATGCACCGCGGCTGCCGGATGCAGGCCGCCTAGTCTCTCACGCGTTGTAACACACCCCTTGCACCTTGGGTTGAACCATAGAGACGCCGTTGCTTTCGCTCCCCGTTTCAGAAGCTAGAGAGGCCTCTGTGCTTGTCCCGCGAGATTTCCCCGCAACTCTTTTTTTTTAAGGAGGCGGAAGTTCTGATCTGGCGTCCATCTTTGCTAAGGGCGTCGCTGCTCACAGACTTCATAATAGCATGCTTGAAGTTATTAAGCCTGCCATCTTAAATTGGGCAGGAAGGGGAACTGGACTTTATACGTTTCCTTTCAAACTGCCAAGTCTCCCGGAAATTGAGCAGGGGAGAGGAAGCGGAGGGCGACTGCCACTTGGCTTTTTACGGCACTAGCGGAGGGAGATGGAGGCATAGACGAGGAAGAGCAGACGGGTTTTCTTCCCGCCTTCTGTTTCCACGGGTGTAATTCCTTATTGGCTGAGGAGGAGCGCGCTTCGATAATGAGGCCTGGTTCGCCTGCCTTCCCTCCGAAAAAAGGGGAGCCTTTTGCCTGAGCTGAGTGGAGCCCAGCTGCTGCGAGCAAGAGGAGAAGCGGCCACACAGCGATTTAGCCGCTTGGCTTCTCTTTTTGTGCACGAAAACGGGGTGCCCCTCACTGGCTCGCCCGCTTGCCTGCTGCTAAAGAGGCGCAGTCAGATTTTGGCCCATGTGGCTTTATTGGGAGCCGCGAGGGCGAATTCCCTGCTGAACCGCGGCGAGCCGTTGAACCGCTGAACCTGGAGGAGAAGCCGGCCATGGATGATTTTTTATCCATTAGTTTGCTCTCTCTCGCTATGCTGATTGGCTGCTATGTGGCCGGCATCATCCCTTTGGCCGTAAACTTTTCCGAGGTAAGAAGGAAGGCTCTGAGCACCTGCCGTCCAGGTGTGCAGAAGAATGCCAAGAGTATCGGAGGGCAAGGGCTCTCTAGCCGCGGTGTTAGTTTTCACTTCTGGAGATCGATCTTGAGGTGGGAGTGTTGTAAAGAACAAATAAATTTAACACAATAGGAAACAAAAAAATCCTCGCAAATAAACTTTGGAATAAGCGCCTGGTTTAGGTTAGCCCTTTTTTACCTTGATAACTTGTGTTGCAGAATTAGGACCTAGCATGAAAGATAAAATGGCAGAAAGAAAAAAAATTGTGTCATCTTTTGAGATATTTTGACTACTCATCTAGAGGATTTTCCTCTCCCAATTCTTTCTGCAAAGCCCAGTTTCCTTTTGTGGTGTCAGATATTAATATATTCAGCAGGTTTAAAGTTTGATCGAATAGTTTTTTTGAAATTTGATATAAGAAATAATTTTGCTATATGCAAAAAAATGTTTTTCCCAGATAATTACCCTATTCTTTTTTCAGTACAGTTAGCTAAAACTTGAAGAAAGAATACTTATTTTACATAGTTGTTTTTCTCTGATCTCTTGTATATGTGCATTTAAAATTGAGTATTAAAAAATACATGTCCACATTGTATTTCTCTGCAATATAGTAAAATATTCTACATTTTGGAAGGAATACTTTCCAATATATTTTAAAAGACTCAGCAAGCCAAAGGCAGCTCTATATATTAATTGTCATTATACACATGATGCCAAAACATCCGGGTGGTGTTATAAAAAATTATTCTGATTATACAAAAATGTCTGCAAAAGTGCAACTTATTTTAATAATGACAGCCAAATGTTGTTTCATTTACTGCACAATTCAAAAGTAAATCCAGTGAAGCATATGGAACTGACACTGAAGTAAAGCTTAATAAGCAGAAAGTACATAATATGTCTAAAAATAACAAAACAATGCCAGGTTAAAATAGCTTGAAGAAATTTTAGCTATGTTATTTTGCCATCCTGTACAAATACTTTTTTCACAGAAAAAAGAAACACGTAAACTTACTTGCATTCTTCAAAATTTTGCAAGCTAATTACCTGGTCATTTGGCTTATTATCTATATTTAATACTTGTGGGTGATCATTAGGTCGTCCTGCTCATAAAAAATAGGTTCTTTATTTTCCAAATTATGTGAGAAAATAATTTTCTAAACTGAAATTTCTGTAAGGATTTGAAAATGTTTGTGAAACTCTCAGAATGGTTTAAATCAAAGAAACTTTAAATAAATAAACAGATCTAAAATAAAATAATAATTTAAATTTGTTTTTTTAACTGCCAATTCCTATGGTTTATACTGAGATAGAAAATCTCTTTCCAGTTGTTTGAGTAGCATGCATTTTCAGAGTTAATGAATCATATATTTCTTCATTAATCTTATTTCTATGTTGCCAGAATCAAGAGACTCAGCATACTGTGAGCAGCCTTCAATTTTTGTAAAGGAAGATTAGTGCTGGGTTATATATGTAAAATAAAACAATAATGTGAACAGTTCACTGTGAAAGCATCAAATGCATGTTGTATTGTCTAATTTCCTTAATAAAATACAACAGCATCAGGTATCTTGAACAAAGCATTCCAAAAGCATTTGTAGATTGTATATATTATAATTAATAGTCTCTATATTTATTGTAAACCATAAAACCTGGTTTTTGTTACTTTTAATAATGGCTGTTTCATCTTTAAAGGCTAGGATTATGTGGCTTTCATATGATCAAATGTTTTACTTTAGATTATTTTTTTAAAAATATGAGACCTTCTGTCTTTTCTAACAGACAATTCATTGTCATTAATCTAACAAATGCTTAAACTGTATAGGCTAAAATGTGTGTTTTATGCATGTGCATTCCAGAAATCTCTTGAGTGATTATTTGCTCTTTTGAAATTTGTCATCTTCCTGGAATACGAATCAAACAGATTATGTAAATATCAATGTAAAACAGTCCTCAGTTCAGATAATGTACTCAGAAACAATAAATTACTGCATTTGTATATCTCTTTTCTTTGTGTAAGTATACTTTCTATATTTTGTATTCAGGATGAGGATAATGAAAAGAGATCTAATTTTTTTTGTCTGTGTTGGAGTGGAAAGAGACAGGAAGAACAATACAGTATGGTTCAAAGGTCTGATAGCAAAGAGATTGGTGAACTTTTCCAGTTCCAAACTAGAGAAATAGCTGGGTTAGAGCACCTCAGTTATTCACCACTAAAGTAGGCACTGGAGATGAAGGATGTGACTGTTTTTCCATATATATTTCACACACACATATATACACACTCACATACATACAATATTTATTTTCACATTTCCTTTAATTATTTTAAATTTTATTTTCAGGAAAGATTAAAACTGGTTACAGTTCTTGGTGCCGGGCTCCTTTGTGGAACTGCCTTGGCTGTCATTGTGCCTGAAGGAGTACATGCACTTTATGAAGATCTTTTGGAGGGTAAGAAAACGACTCTTATTCTGGTACAAGGAATTTTGAATAAAACAGACCTTTGATTGTAACGTAGGCATTTTGGTAGTACAGTCCAGTTTTCTACAGAATCTCAATACTTTTTTAAAAATAAATAATACATTTTCCTGCCCATATATCTGAGAGAAGACCAACATAATGTGACATACTCCATGGTTATCATTCTTGGGCAACTATATATGTTTTTATCAGTTTCAATTTCAATATTTTAACAAATGCTTAAATTGTCTCAAGTTGTCTAAGTTAGAGTACAGTGTGATGGCTTACATCAGGGGTCCCCAACCCCTGTTCCGTGGGCCGGCACCAGGCCGTGGCATGCCAGAAACCAGGCCATGCAAACAAATGAGGCCCCATCTGTGACATGCAGGCAGCACTCGAAACCACACAGCCTCTGGTCTGTGGAAAAACCTTTCTCAATGGAACCGGTCCCTGGTGCCCAAAAGGTTGGGGACTGCTGGCTTACATGGTTAGGACACTGGGTTGGAGGTTAGCAAGCCTGCCTTCAAGATCTGAGAGCTGCTGCAGGGTTGGGGTCAACTCCCCTCATTTGCTCCAGCTCCTTAATGGGACATGAAAGGAGCCTCCCCCCAGGTATCCCCCAAGCAATGGTGCTGTTACCAGCTAATCCTTTCAATCCAGAAGCTCCTTAAACGGGACAGGACAGGAATACAGCAAATGACCAGGCCTTATGTATACTAAAAGTGAAGCCTTTAATAGTTCATTGCCTCTTTGAAATCTTTTTCATGTTAATGAGGAAGGAAAAGAACAGAATGCTGATAGGCATTAAGAAAGTAAATATAGGTTTGGTGGAAGTCAGATAAGCAGGGAATTAGAGTTTCTCAGTGGAGGATAGCAGATTATTTTGGCCACAGAAACACTTATCTACGCTTATGATAGCCCCAACTCTCATGGCCTTCTGTAAACAGATGAGAAACATGGCTTTCCTAGAGGACTTTGGGGTTTAACTGTATTATCAATAACATTTCTTTCAGTTTTACACTGTTTTCGGTTGTATTTTTGTTACTGTTTTAGTCATTCAATTTTGTGTGTTTTTAATAAGTATATTTTCTAAGCCAGGGGTGCCGAACCCCCAGTCCATGGACCGGTACTGGGCCGCGGCATGCCAGCAACCAGTCCACACAAACAAGCAAAGCCCCATCCACGAGATGCAGGCAGCACATGAAAACCACACACCCTCCGCTCCGCGGAAAAACCTCTCTCCATGTAACTAGTCCCTGGTGCCCAAAAGGTTGGGGACCTCTGTTCTAAGCTATCTAGAGTCCATCTAATATTAGGTGTTCAGATAAATATAATTAAGAAATAAATACTGCTTGGATTTTTAAAAACAAAAACAAAAAATGAGTAAAAGCAGAAAATTCCAGGTGGTTATAATGCTTTCATTTATAAAATAGCTAAAAGGATTTATTAAACCATCCCAAATTATTTTCCTTACTCCTCCCCCTTGCCTTCCATAAAACTCCAGGGTTACTGGCTTTTGTGGGGGGGAGAGGGGCTGCCTTTGATTCAGTTTTTGACTCCTGGAAATTCTCTTATTTTCTGAAGTGGTTTCCCATTGCCTGCTTCTTAGGGCTGAGAAAAAGGAACTTCCCAAGGTCACCTAGGTGATTTTTGTGCCTAAGGCAGGACTAAAATTCAAGGTCTTCCGGTTTCTAGACTCATGCCTTAACTACTCCACCAAATTGGCTCTCATTACTGGCTATTATTTCCTGTTAATAACTTCAGTTCAAAACCCTTGTTCAAGCATTACATGACTGTTAAGCAATGTTTGCTAATTTGGGGGATGAGGCAAAGGTTATTTCTTTAAACCTATTATTTGATAGCATGCCTTGAAGCATTTTTAGCATGCTGAACTACATCTTTTCTTCAAATAATTTTATTAAGATTTACAAATTGAAAGGATAAAAACTAATAAAAATTATAACAAATACCAAAAAGAAGAGTAGAAAAAAAGAAGAGTGAACTATACCCTTATCCTTAACAGGTAGTTTCAGGTATTTGACAATTCAGTGAAGGGGAGGCAACAGTAGCTGAGAAAAGGATAATATTTTTATCCTTTTCAACTAAATTTCATTTTTGATGCGTGCCGTTGTGCCCACAGTAAAAAAAATGACAATAAAGGTTATCTATCTTATCTAATATTTTTGCATCATTTTAGTTTGCTGATATTTGTTTCTCTGCAGAAATTAATAATCCCGGCAACTGTAAACCATAACTGTGATTTCTTCTCAAAAGTACTGTGTAATTGCAAGGGGAGGGATCAGGTCTGCATTCCATTTTAGTAGAATATGGATAGATAAAATGCATCTCAATTCAAGAGAGACAAACATCCAAACAGCAATCAGAGTACTGCAGCCTATCAAATGTTAATTCTTTTCCCCTTCTTCATGGTTATCTCTCTTATTTTGCTAACCCCTGCATCAGAAGGACTGCTGGAAAGAGCTGCATTTATCTGGAGGATAATAATTTGGGGCCATCCAAAACACCAGATACAGTAGCTGTCCAAATGGTTACTTCTAAAGGGATGAAGAAAACACAAATACACAATTAAGAGTTTCTTTCCTACCCTTGAAAAGAGTTCAGTGGATTAGTAGGATTAGGTTTCTCAATTCATGGTCCAGTCACAATGAAAAAGAAAATATGAGCAAATGCTACATTTGAGATTTGCATAATTTAATAGGCCTGCAGATTTCACTGTTTACTCTATACTTTATATTGGAAGATTTAGTTCCAATATATGTTACTTATATGTAAGGGTGTAGGTCTATACATACGTTGTATGTAGTATGTTTTAAATGTTTGTTATGTATGTGTACACTTTGAGAGCAAGCAACTAAATTTCATTTTTAATGTGTGCTGTTGTGCCCACAGTAAAAAAAATGACAATAAAGGTTATCTAATTTCTCTCAGTTTTGAATGATGTTATGCATTTTAATATCATTTAAATTTGAAGTTTAATAGAAGCATTCTGGTTGGTATATTTGAAGATCGAATATGATTGAGAGTAGATTGTCAGGCTCACTGGAGCAGTCATGCAAAATGGCCATACCTAGTGGCGGATGTATGATGTGATAATCTAAGGATAGTGGTCATTACAAAGCACGTTTCTAGAATTCATCATTATTGCAGGAAATTCTTTGCTTCTTATCATGTTTCTTATTATTTGGATATCTTTTAAAAGCAGACTTATTATTCAGTACCATAATTGTTCAGTTATCCACATAGGAAGTACAGTCACATGAAAAAGGAAGTATACCCCATTGGATTGTTCCATTTTTTCAACATATTTCAGCATATACAGTAGATATTTGATCTTAATAATAATAATAATAATAATAATAATAATAATAATAATAATAATAGTAAAGTTGGAAGGGACCTTGGAGGTCATCTAGTCCAACCCCCTGCTCGGCAGGAAACCCTACACCATTTCGGACAAATGGCTGTCCAGTCTCTTCTTAAAAACTTCCAGTGTTGGAGCATTTACTGCTTCTGGAGGCAGGCGGTTCCACTGATTAATTGTTCTCACTGTCAGGAAGTTTCTCCTTAGTTCTAGGTTGCTTCTCTCCTTGATTAGTTTACACCCATTGCTTCTTGTCCTGCCTTCAGGTGCTTTGGAAAATAGCTTAATTCCCTCTTCTTTATGGCAGCCCCTGAGATATTGGAATACTGCTATCATGTCCCCCCTTGTCCTTCTCTTCGTTAAATTAGACATATCCAATTCTAGCAACCGTTCCTTATATGTTTTAGCCTCCAGTCCCCTAATCATCTTTGTTGCTCTTCTCTGTACTCTTTCTAGAGTCTCAACGTCTTTTTTACATCGTGGTGACCAAAACTGGATGCAGTATTCCAAGTGTGGCCTTACCAAGGCATTGAAGAGTGGTATTAATACTTAACGTGATCTTGATTCTATCCCTCTGTTAATGCAGCCTAGCACTGTGTTGGCCTTTTTGGCAGCTGCAGCACACTGCTGGCTCATATTTAAGTGATTGTCTACTAGGACTCCGAGGTCCCTCTCACAGCTACTACTATTGAGCATGGTGCCACCTATGCTGTACTTGTGCATTTGGTTTTTCTTGCCTAAATGTAGAACCTTGCTTTTTTCACCATTGAATTTCATTTTGTTAGTTAGTGCCCAGTGTTCAAGTCTGTCCAGATCCTTCTGTATCTGAAGCCTGTCTTCTGGAGTGTTGGCTATTCCTGCCAGCTTGGTGTCGTCTTCATTTTAACAATATTGATAATATAACAAATATTCACCATTTACATTTGTGGTCCATTGTGCAATTTAAATAAATACAAATGCAAATTTTGCACATGGAAAAAGTACACTGATGTGAAGTTTTTCTTTCTTTTTTTTAATCATACATGAACATACCAATATTTTGTTTTCATTCAAACAGTATATTTTATTTATTTATTTGTCAAATTTTGAAATTAGCCATCTCCTTCACAGAGGGACTCCGGACAATGTACAAATAAAATATTAAAGCATTAAAAATAATATGTAAAATGTAAAATGAGGCAAAGATTATTAAAAATCAATGTTAAAAGTTAAAAGGAGGGGGAGGGTTTTCAGGGACTAAGCTGCCTCACAGCTGTATGCTTCTCTGTGAGCTTAAAGCAAGCCATGTTATCACACCTTTCCAAAAGGCCAGGAGAGTGGGGGCATGCTTCATCTCTGGGGACATAAAGAGAAGTGATCTAACAAAAAGCTATAAAAATTGATTTTGGAATCATTTAGTTAACAAAAAATTAACAGATATGCCATTTCGTTCTGTAAAAAAAGTAAGCACGCTCTTGACTCAAATACTACTTTTTTCCTCAATGTTTATGTATGTTAAACCCTAGGATATGGCTGCAATATTATTATTTATCCCCATTATTGTTTTTACTTCCCTCTTTTATTGTCTGTAAACTTTATTGTTATTATTATATTCTGTTGTTTTGCAAGTACACTGAGTGCTTCTATACTGTAGACAAGTTCCTTGAGTATCTAATCACACTTGACCAAATAAAGTATAACTATAATCTAACATCTGGTATTGTTCTCTTTGACAGAAGCAATCTCAAATACACATTTCTTATAACTGTCTATCACTTTCTGAGATCAACTGGGAGAAATTTTTCCTACTTCTCCATGCAACATTATTCCAGCTGTGCAATGGCTGAGGAGTTTTTGCATGCATAGCCCTTTTCAAATCACCCCACAGCATGGCGGGTTTTCTGGAATGTTTAGAGTCATTGTCATGTTGCCAGGTTCACTTTCGGTAGAGCTTCAATCTTTTCACAAATCTTCTCACATTAGTTAAACATCCTCTGGAACAATGAAGAATTCATAGTGGATTCTGTGATGGTGATCACAGATCTCCCCAGGTCTTGAAGCAGCCCCAAATCGTAACATTTTCACCACCATTCTTTACAGTTGGTATAATGTTCATCTGGTGAAATGTTGCCTTTGGTTTTCACCAAGCGTGTCCTGGTACTGTGGCCAAATAATCTGATATTTTTGCCTTGGCTGTCGAGAGCACATCGTTCTAGAAGTCCTAGTGTTTGTCTCTAGGCATTCATGAATTGATGTGTTCTTTTGGGGCAGCAACGATTTGTTTCTGGCATACTTCCAATGTATATTTGTGCAGCTTTCTAGTGGTAGACTCATGCCCTTTAACATCAGTAGTGGTGAGAAGGACTTGTGGGTCAGATGAAAATAGGGCATTCTTTTTTTTTTTTTTTCAGCAACTTGGTTTTCCTCCTGGGCTAAAATTGCTGGGATGGCCTGGCCTAGGCAAGTTGATAGTTGTTTGAAATCTTCTCCACTTATAGATGATTTTCTGCAGAATGGGATGATTGATGTCCAGTGCTTGGCAATCTTTTAAAATCACTTTTTATCATTCATTGATATCTATAACCTTCTTTCTGATCAGAGATCTCCTTCTGGTCAGACAGCTCTTTTGATCTAGAGCAGGCATGTCAAACTCATGACGTCGCGCAACATATCGGGCCAGTTTTGCCATGGCCGGCAATGGGGTGGGCGCAGCTTCCATGAGACACATCCGGCCCGCGGGCTGGCAGTTTGACACCCCTGATCTAGAGTGATACCACCCACTTCAGCAAAAAAGAGCATATCAAACTAAATGACTCCAATATGACAGCTTCCTCCCAGATCCTCAGTAGTAATGTTCACATTTTGTGCACCTAATTTTAGATAATGAAGGTAGTGATAAACATAGGGATGTATTTACATTTTTCACATGCATTTGTTTATTTAAATTATACAATGGGCTACAAAATGTAAATATTCATGATATAGTTATATCCTCTTTATCAATATTATTGAAATGAAGATCAAATATCTCTGTTGGAAAAGGAAAAGATTACAATGGGATGTACTTTTTCACATGACAGCGGATTGATCTGAACCATAGAGTTTTCTGCCAAAATAGAAAGTGAATAAAATAAAAAGAAGTCTTCCATTAGACATTGGAGATATTTTGCCCAAAATACTTACTCCTAGCCTTTACAAATTCAGATTCCTATCTGCTTGCTTATGCCTGCAGATATACATTTTTGCTTTCATTCAGTTATTTGATGAAACAGTTATTTATTTGATGTTACATACAGATGTAGTGATACAATGTCATTAACATGACATTGAGGTCATGTTAATTAAACTATGTTTCTGATCAATTTTAAATTTTATACAAAATTTGAAAACTAATTAGTCACTTTTAAAATTAAAAATACCCTGAGGCATGTTTTGATTTGACTTTTAATAGGTTAGGAACTGCATTTCTAATTTCAACTGTTCTTTTTGGTTTCCTTTAGCAAAGCACCACCCAGTCAGTGTGAGTGAAAAGGCCATTGAATCTGAGAAAGCAGATGTTCCAGATGTGCATGAGCATAACCATAGCCACGACCATTCAAGATTACATGCTTACATTGGTGTTTCTCTTGTTCTTGGCTTTGTCTTTATGCTGCTGGTAGATCAGATTGGCAATTCTCACGTCCACACTGCAGATGGTAAGCCAATATTTTTCCTAATAGGCAATCAAAGTGAGAACAATTCTCAGAAATATTCAAATAAATGAATATTCATTGTATATGATATAGTCTATATTAAGAAAGGATGGGGGTTGAATTTTGAAACAAAATTAACATTTTCACCTTTAAAATTTGGCAGCATAACATTTGGTCAAAGTTTATATCATTAATGGTGAAAAAAATAGTATATATGTAGTCCTAACTTAACAACTCTAATTGGAATGGGAATTTCCATCGCTAAGGGATGCAGTTGTTAGGTGAAATATCACATGATTGTACCACTTAGCGATGGCAATTTTAGTAGTTCTGGTTGTGATTAGGATTGTGTTACCATTAGGCAAGGATATCACCCTTATCTTGTCCTGTTGCTCTCACCTCCAGTTCAACTCCCTCTATTTGCCTGTTTCTCTCCTCCCCCCCCCCCAATCTCTGCCCTTATGGCCATCCTGCACTCTGTTGGTCTTGCCCTAGCATGGCAAGGCCTCACATGGCCAGAGCTGCTTTGCAAAGGGCCAGCACAGAAACACCTTGTAAGCAACAGGAGGAAGAAGACGGCAAAGGTTAACAGCAGGAGCAATGGACTGCAGGATGGCTGAGGGGAGGGGCAATGGAATAAAGGGTGGTCAAAAGGGCTGTAATGGGAGGGGAGATAGGTGGGGGGGAATTGATTGTATGGTTATAAATGCAGGTGGACTGCTAGATTTTGATCATGTGACCACGGAAGTGCTTTCACAGCTATAACTTCAAAGACCAGCCATAACTAACATTGTTCGGCACTATTGTAACTTCAAATTGTCACTGGCAAATGGTCATTAAGTGAAGACTACCTGCATAGGAAGGACATTAAATGGAGACTCTCCATTAATTTTCAGTGGCATTGGTAGAGATTTTTTTTAAAAAAACGAACAAGTGAACTTTTAGCTTTAAATAAAATTTACTAAACCAGTAAGTAATTATTTTTTTTAGATTTTGGCTACAAAACAAAGACAGTGGCAGAAAGTATTCATCATATTTTAACCAGAAATACTTGAATATTGAATACACTGTGCTTGGTTCCATGCAAATACTTGTGGAGACATATAGTATTTTCCACACCAAGCCTCAGTGTCGTGATATAATAAGCATGTCACAGAGAACATCATCCTCATATTCTTTAACCCATAACTAACCTGGAAATCATAGTTACATTCTACTTGGCAAGGAACTAGACTTAAATCATTGTTAAACCATATAAAAGTGATATGGAGCCTATGGTTTTCTCACTATTCCATCCAACAGCTGCATTTCAAAGGTCCGCTATGATATTTTGACTGCTTAACTGTGGTTACCTGTGAATGTTAATTTGCCTCCATCCTCTTGGCCTTCCAGATGGGCTTAAAACCTGGGTCTGCTGATTGGCCTGGGGTCCTGTTGGGGGCATCCTCTATTGCAGGTGGTTTGTATATTAAAAGAAGATTCTATTTCCACCAAATTGTATTTTGCTTCCTTCTTTAGCTATCTCTGTTAATTTTAATATTTATCATTTTAATATTGTAATAAAATATTTATCATAATGTTTTATATTGTCATTTTTATCTAGAGTCACTTGATAGCAAGGTGGGCATCATATAAATTAAATTAAATTAAATTAAATTAATAAATGTTAAACTATTTTTCAAAAGGATTCAAGTTCATGGAATATTTCATTCCCTTAAATGGGAAGAAGGAAGGAAAGATTCAAAGGCACTGAGAAAGAGTTAACAGAGATACTTTAGTTTGGTGAAAAATTGTTATTATAATCTATTCATGATAATGTCACAGTTTTAGCTGGTGTTGACCTTCATATGCATCACGTTTGTCTCAAGAACCTAGAATGTCGCAATGTATCAGCGTAGTATATGTGCAGATCCAAACTGTGTGGCATTTTGCAATGTCAATGGGCAGATTTTCTAAGTGCTATTCAAATTTTTGGTATGCACTATAATATTATTGTAATTATTACATTATCCTATATAAAATGCCTAGAATTCAGTCTTCTAGTTTCTAGACCATCCATCACCTTAACTACTTCACTAAAGTAGCTTTTTAACCTATATTAACTTCTAATAAATATTAACTTTTGTAATATTTCTTCATTTCAGTCTCTGCTCCTGCTCTCTTATTTATATCTCTTTGATAAGATTTCTTAATTATTTCAGATCCAGAAGCAGGAAGGTCAGGCAATTCCAAAATTACTACTACACTAGGACTAGTTGTCCATGCAGCAGGTAGGTTAATTTTGTTGGTTTGTTACATTTTTCTAAAAAAAAAAAAAATGACTGTCAAGTTATGTGAGTTAGTGTTGACATGATGATATGATCCCAGTAGTTACTGCTACTAATAATGGAATAATGCTGTGGACTTTCTTTTTAGTCTTCTCCCCAAGTTAATCTACTTTGAGATAAGAGAGGAGACTAAACTGAACTGCAGGGATATGTCCCTGATGATTCTCTACAGCTCAGGGCTATAGTGATTTTTAATAGGAAAATACATATTTGATCCAGTCTAAAGGCTTCAAGTTGGAGACATTTCTGGAGTTTTTATTCCTAATGTTAGTTTTCAAGAATTATGTTTGGAGACAAATCCTTTAAACTTTTAAAAAAGATCTAAACAAATATTTTTGTTTCTGCAAAACCATTAAAGCATAAAGTTAAGAATATGTTGTGGTTCTACATTTTGTGTATATTATAATATGAATTACTGCTTCTGTCTTGCTGCTATACGATATTTAACTATAAGTGCACGGTAAATAAATTTACTACTGCTATGTTATACATTTGTTTCAAACGCTATAGCAATATATCTGCATTTTTAGAACCTAATCTCCTGCTCTCAAACACACATTCCCTTTTCAACTTTTAGAATAAATCTTAGAACTTTAAATCTTCAATTAATTTGTACTGTGTTATGTGACCAAGGCATGAAGAACTGTGACAAAAGACTCCCAAGTCCAGGAAAGGGCATTCAGTGAGGGGGAAAAATATTTGATCCCCTGCTGATTTTGTACGTTTGCCCACTGACAAAGACATGATCAGTCTATAATTGTAATAGTAGGTTTATTTTAACAATGAGAGATAGAATAACAACAAAAAGTCCAGAAAAATGCATTTCAAAAAAAGTTATAAATTGATTTGTATTTTAATTAGTGAAATAAGTATTTGATCTCCTATCAGTCAGAAGATTTTTGGCTCCCAGGTGTCTTTTATATAGGAAACGAGCTGAGATTAGGAGCACTCTCTTAAAGAGAGAGCTCCTAATCTCAGCTTGTTACCTGTATAAAAGACACCTGTCCACAGAAGCAATCAATCAATCAGATTCCAAACTCTCCACCATGGCGAAGATCAAAGAGCTGTCCAAGGATGTCAAGGACAAGATTGTAGACCTACACAAGGCTGGAATGGACTGCAAGACTATCGCCAAGTAGCTTGGTGAGAAGGCGACAACAGTTGGTGCGATTATTCGCAAATGAAAGAAACACAAAATAATTGTCAATCTCCCTCGGTCTGGGGCTCCATGCTAGATCTCACCTTGTGATGTTTCAGTGCTCATGGGAACGGTGAGGAATCAGCCCAGAACTACACAGGAGGATCTTGTCAATGATCTCAAGGCAGCTGGGACCATAGTCACCAAGAAAACAATTGGTAACACACTATGCTGTGAAGGACTGAAATCCTGCAGCACCAGCAAGGTCCCCTTGATCAAGAAAGCACATGTACAGGCCCGTCTGACATTTGCCAATGAACATCTGAATGGTTCAGAGGAGAACTGAGGGAAAGTGTTGTGGTCAGATGAGACCAAAATTGAGCACTTTGGCATCAACTCAACTCGCCATGTTTGGAGGAGGAGGAATGCAGCCTATGACCCCAAGAACACCATCCCCACCATCAAATATGGTGGAAACATGTTTTGGGGGTGTTTTTCTTCTATGGGGACAGGACAACTTCACCACATCAAAGGGACGATGAACAGGGCCATGTACCATCAAATCTTGGGTGAGAACCTCTTTCCCTCAGCCAGGGCATTGAAAATGGGTCATGGATGGGTATTCCATCATGGCAATGACCCAAAACACATGGCCAAGGCAACAAAGAAGTAGCTCAAGAAGAAGCACATTAAGATCCTGGAGTGGCCCAGCAGTCTCCAGACCTTAATCCCATGGAAAATCTGTGGAGGGAGCTGAAGGTTCAAGCTGCCAAATGTCAGCCTCAAAACCTTAATGATTTGGAGAGGATCTCCAAAGAGGAATGGGACAAAATCCCTCCTGAGATATGTGCAAACCTGGTAGCCAGTTACAAGAAACGTCTGACCTCTGTGATTGCTAACAAGGGTTTTGCCACAAAATACTAAGTCATGTTTTGCGAAGGGGTCAAATACCTATTTCACTCATTAAAATGCAAATCAATTTATAACTTTTTTGAAATGTATTTTTCTCGTTTTTTGGTTATTATTCTGTCTCTCATTGTTAAAATAAACCTACCATTACAATTATAGACTGATCGTTTCTTTGTCAGTGGGCAAACATACAAAATCAGCACTGTAATTGGTGCACCAGGTGAATATATGCAAGGGTCTTCCTGATCATAACTGGTTCCTACTCACTAAGTAGAAACTGAAGCTAGGAGGACTCCAAATTATAGACCACCCCTGAATGTGGAAATATAACTCAATTAAATCACTGGGACCAAAAGAACCCAAAATATAGCAACAAAACATATATTTTAAAACAATGTTGCAAAGAGCTAAACAAAACTGTTGGCTCTGTGACCGTTCCTGATAGAAAACTGATGCCATGGATCTACTCTGAAAAATAAATATTAAAACCATCATCAGAAATGGAAGAGCAGGTTAAGATAAGAGAATCAGGTGACAGACTTACTCTTGTATAATTTAGCTCCAGTAACTCTTTGATCAGTGGCTGGATTCATGGTTGTGTGGTTTTTTTTCCCCTTCCTCCCTCATTAAGCTGATGGTGTTGCCTTGGGTGCAGCTGCTTCTACATCTCAGACTAGTGTCCAGCTAATAGTATTTGTTGCAATTATGCTGCATAAGGTAAGCTTTGAGTAAGAAACTTTTCCATGCTTCTTCCATCAGTGAATGAGGAATTATAGACTTGAGTGAAGTGAAAAAGTTCTTTTTTAAAAAGTATCCATGCATTTTTAAAATCATTTGTGTTTGCTTTTGTAATTAGGATGGCATCTCGGAGTAGAAGTATGCAGTTAGGTACTGTGTATGTGGGAGTTTGTGCTAGCCTAGTAATGACATGTAGTAAGCAGCAGTACTTCTTACTGCTGAATTTAATGTACTTAGAAGACACTTTATATACAATTAATTTTCATTAGAATCACATAGATCTTGTGTAGGAAATGGCAGCTAATTCTGAGTGATTATTGGGCCTGAAGCTATACTAATTTCATCTTTTGGATTTCTTGTTATAGTAACAGGACCAAGCAATCCCTTAGATTTTTGAGAATTACATTCTAATTTGACTAAATGGCTGCCATGGAGATTGTATTTTCATAGTATGGCATGGTTGTAATCACAAAATTACCTGAAGGCAAACTAGTAGGGTTGTTGTCCACCAGCCTCTTTAGCTCTCTAGGATGCTTTTATCATAACAATCTGTATGTGTATCATTAATTTTTAATACTAATGTTAAAATAAGCATTTTAGTATTAGTTTGTTTTTTACTAAAAAGTATTTGTAAATGTATTAACTTCTTTCAATAGTATAGCATATAGTTGTTGTTGTTTTTTTACTAAAAAGTATTTGTAAGTGTATTAACTTTTTTCAGTTGAATGGCATATAGTGTTATAAAGAACAGGAAAACATGTATTTTTACTATACTTGAAGTGTGCTATTTTCCCCTTAGATATAGTGATTTACTATCTCATATTAAGGAAGGGCTTAATACTAATGATACATTATACTCCACCAACAGAAAACTTAAGGAAGGGCTCAGTAATGTACTACTGGCATTTGGTTTCACTAAACATTCCATTTTGCAAATGAAGGCAGTACAACTCGTTTTATACTTGAGCATTAATTATTTTATTGCTTTTATGTTATAGGCACCTGCTGCTTTTGGGCTTGTCTCATTTCTTATGCATGCTGGTCTTGAACGGAATCGAATCAGGAAGCACTTGCTGGTTTTTGCATTAGCAGCACCTGTTTTGTCAATGGTGACTTATTTGGGATTAAGCAAGGTAAAACAGCCGTGGAATATGAAAAGTTTTAAATAATCAGATTAATCATGTTTACCAGTCAGTTGTGCATCAGTATGTTTGTTGGGGAATCAATTTTGCAGACTCTTAAATATTTGGTATTTTGTTTCATAGAGCATTTTTGCTGGATTATGAATTGTTCTTTGAGTGAAAGTAGTGCATATAAAATGCAGATAATTGGTCTTGTGTTGCCCTGTTTTTTAACTAACACCAAATTATGGATTTTATGTAAATCATCAGCCCCCATCTAGTTTTTTTGCACTGACAAAAATTTGCTGAGTAAATTTTCCACTGATGGTAGAGGATGTTAGATCTCCAGAACATTAGTTTTTCTTTGAGGTAAGGTATAATGCATTCTAAAGATGTTTTTGAAATTCCAGTAGAGCAGCAATTGAAGTACAATTTAAAGAAGGATGAGCTTTAATATTTTATTTGCCTTTTGCCTTTTTTTTTTTTTTACAGAGCAGTAAAGAGGCACTTTCAGAAGTCAATGCCACTGGAGTTGCCATGTTGTTCTCTGCTGGGACTTTCTTATATGTTGCCACAGTTCATGTTCTTCCCGAAGTGGGTGGAATGGGACATAGCCATAAACCTGACTCTGCTGGAAGCAAGGGACTCAGTCGCTTGGAGGTGGCTGCATTGGTTCTGGGTTGTTTGATTCCTCTGATTTTATCTATTGGACACCAACATTAAAACTTGGAAGACCAGCATTTTTCCCTTCAATCTGATATAAGCAGCAGTCCGTTGCTTTTTTATTGCTGTCTCTCTTACCCTGTTGACCACCCCATGTATGATAAGGAGTTGGAGAGGATCATCGTTTTAACAAGAAAACTGTGGGAAAACTCAATAGAAGAGAGAGATAGTACTCTTTGATGGCTAGTTATAAATCCTGCATAATTTCTTTTTTTCTGAAGATATTTTCATTATGACTTCCTACCTATTCTCAGGGAAGCTGGAACTTGGATATTATCTGGGAAGATCCTTTCAATTCATCATGAAATCATAATCCAAGTATTCCGTATATCAGCATTCAGAGCTGATCTCTTGACATTATGATGCTACCTTCTAATATGCGGGAAGATTGTTCACATCTTCCAAATGTCCATGCATTAATAATGGCATGGGCTGATTTAGAAGGAATCATCTGGTGGACAAATATTTGTGAGGATGAAGTTGTAGGCAAAATTTGTATTAGATAAAGAAGTTTGATAGGATTCTTGCATTGACTTATTATGGAAGCACATTTGTTCCTTGATTCTAACAGGCTATACAGTACAGAAGAGAGCCACATTCAGCAAGAGGTTAGATTGTTCTGAGCTCTAAGGAATAGGTGTTTATTCAAATGAATGCTAGTTTATTTACAAAAATGTTTCTTTTCAAGTGGAATAAGGTAAGCCCTATTCATCAGGCATCAACCTCAAAAGCTGAAACTTTAATACTTTTACCAAAAATCATTCCAGGTTGTGAGCTTGTTTTGAATTAAATGTCTGAAATCTGTTAAAACTGAGTATCTGCACACCTCTAGAACACGAATTCTACACATCATAGTGGTTCAAAAAGGTATCTGTAATTATCCAGAAAAAGAAAACCCTGTCAAAGCCATTGGTTTAAAAAAAAATTAAATGGTTAAAATATATGTTGGTTACTAGTGCACAGTTTTATATATGCTTTAATTTTTGAATCATATTGTCAAAAGTCTTTCACTAATAGTTAAAATTTTATTTATAAACAAGATAGTGTTTGAATGAAATATTTTTTTACTGGACTGATTATTCCATGAGATAAATCTGATCCTTTCTTCAGTAACATTTTACAGTCCAGTAATTAATGAAACTTGTTTTCCATGCCTGCCTTGCTCACATCTTATATTTCCTAGACAGTGGATGTTAAGGTTGTTCAGAACGGTTATGTTTTAATTGGCAGTTCCTACTTATTGAATGAATATTGGTTGAGCATCAGTAGGCAATATCAGTTTTTCATTAAAAAAAATCTTGCCTTTTATGGGAGGGCATAATGTTAGAACCAGAAAGGAATTAACATTAAATAATATAAACATGACTTATTTCTAAAGGGTTTTTTTTAAAGCTAATACTCAACAGACCTATTGACTGCTATTCTTTCCAGTATATGTTTATCAGCTGCATACATTTATATCAATCTTAAATCAATCATCTGTGCTACTGTGGATCGAGCATCATAAAATGGTGCATCACAAATGGATCTGCCAGTTGTACTTGATCTGCAAGAAAGCATTTCAAAGATTACAGTTTTAGAGTTCTCTTCTATGCTAGAAGAGAAAATAGAAACATATTTGTCAAAACATGGGACAAAAATCCCAGTTGTACTATTTGATATATAAATTGAGCTGGTTAATGTGCCTGTCACATTTGTATACTTAATGATTGAAAATAAAGTCATAAAATGCCAAATTACCATTGCTGGGAAAATGACAAGAATGTCTATTCTTCCAACTAGCAAGTTGGGAAATAATGGCAAAATGACAAGTCACCAGACTTGATTAAAATGTCATTAATATAGAAATATTTGAAAGAAGAATTAGGATTCAGGGAGATATATTGAGTTTAAATCACACATTTTAAAAAAATTATTTGAATGTTGTATGTAATTGAGAGAGAAGGCCAGACTTTTAAGTGCTTACTGTTATTTGCAAAACTTAGTTGGAAGCTACCTAAACTAAATCAAATTTGTGAAAGCAAGTCTGTTAATTCTTTTTTTCCTATTTCACTAACTTGGGCTTGGTATCTAGAACTAAATTATTATTTGTAAGGCAATGAATAAGCTTAATGTGTGATGATTATTACACAATAAACATCATAAGGCAGTATAGGAAATGCTTATGGGGCTGATTTGCTCCTGTATGGGAACAAAGGTGGCTGGAATACTTTGCCAGTATTTAATTGCTAACTGCTTTTGTAGCAGTGAGCTATGAGAAGGGAATTTCTAGATAATAAAAGAAATCCTGTAGCAGAATTCCAGAAAATTGATCTCTTATAATACTGAGAAGCTCAGTTTTGAGAAATTTGGATTTGAGCATATGGATTTTGACTTTAGCCAGATTTTAAAAATCAATGCAAAATCATTGTTTTTTTGTAGTCTAATTCTACTCTTCTTGACTCTTATTAATAATCACATCCAGTTTGTATTCTGAACTTCCCAATAAACCTGAAAGCCATGTATTGCTAAAATAGAGATGCATCATTAATACATTCTCACAAATTCCAACACTTTCACAAGTCACATCAGCTGTAGACTGAGTTGAAAGTGGAAATGTCTGTATGCAACATTACATTCAGTCACCTAATTACCATTATTCATAAAACAATCTTGCCTATGCTGGAGAAACTTAAGTTTGCAATATTTGACAGATATGTCAAAGAAATGCAGTATCTTCAACTGAAAGGAAATATCTTGGAATTTCTGAAATTCCAAGTGGAAAATCAAAAGTGATTTTCCTGTATCCTAGGTGAAAATAATTTTTAATATCCAGCTGTACCAGAATGGGAAAACTTGAACAATAAATTGTGCTGCTGTGTTGTTTATGATGAACCATAGGTAACTTGGAAAATGGGAAGCCCTTGCAGTAGCATTTGAAGGAGATTATTCATTTCAAAAAGATACGAACTTTTACATGTTTCTGTTATGTCCCTATCCAGCTATGATTTCATGGGTAGTGTTCCCTGGTCATAGCTGTATACCTGATTACGTGTACTAAAGTGTAATTTTAATGTCTTTTCTAAATCATTTGTACACATGAGATCATTCCATGGATGGCTGCCTTATTTTTAATTTTTTCACTTTAATTGTGAACTGTTTAAATATGTTTTTATTACATTAAAAATTATTTGCTGCATTGTTGAAATAATTTGTCTCATTTTTAATGGTGACAAAGAAGCAATAATTTGTAGATTCTTCAAGGGGAAATGGTTTATAGTTTGCTTTATCTCCTTTATTCACTTCTAGAAACAGATAAAGCAAGGAGAGCAACAAAGATGGTTAGGGGACTGGAGGCTAAAACATATAAGGAATGGTTGCTGGAACTGGGTATGTCTAGTTTAACAAAGAGAAGGACGAGGATATGATAGCAGTGTTCCAATATCTGAGGGGCTGCCACAAAGAAGAGGGAGTCAAGCTATTCTCCAAAGCGCCTGAAGGCAGGACAAGAAGCAACGGATGGAAACTGATCAAGGAGAGAAGCAACCTAGAACTAAGGAGAAACTTCCTGACAGTTAGAACAATTAACCAATGGAACAACCTGCCTCCAGAAGCGGTGAATGCTCCAACACTGGAAGTTTTTAAGAAGAGACTGGACAGCCATTTGTCCGAAATGATGTAGGGTTTCTATCTGAGCAGATGGTTGGACTCGATGACCTCCAAGGTCCCTTCCAACTTTTATTATTATTATTATTATTATTATTATTGAAGAACCCAGTGAAAAGCATAATAAATCAGCATACTTTGTCTCCCATTCAAATGTAACATACCAAAGTATTAAATGTTCTTACCTAAACATATTTTTTTTTATTTTTAAAACTTATTGGTGATTTACACACCCTTGAAGACCATTGGAAACTTCAATTGGACCATAATGCACCAGCCCAGCTAATTATGGATATTTATTATGCTGGCATGATAACTCCCTTCTGTAAGCGACAGATGAGGTGCAATTCAAAATGCTGATGATCTCCTAACCTGACATAGGACTGTGTTTCCTGTTGGACCATCCCATACATTCTGAAGAAGAAGGCAACCTCTAGGTCCTTTCACTGAAATCGTCATGAGCCCAGGAGATGTGGCTTCTCAGTGATGTCCCCTGCCCTTTGGAATGATCTTTTCTTAGACATAAGGTTGGCCCCAACTTTACATGCCTTTAGGTGGGAAGAGCAGTTAAGACCTGGCTTTTTCTCCCAACTCTGGGATCAGGTTGAATTGAATCCATGATGGTAAGAGAAGGTTTTCAGTTCTCTTTGCCCTGTCATTATTTAATGCATTTTAATTCATTGTATTAATTATGAGCTTTTTCTCCACCACCCAGAGTCACCTGGTTTGATTTCGGCAGTAGTGTAAATGCATAAATGACCACAAATGTACCACACTCTGTTAGCTCCAGACATTTCTCAGAAAAATCCTTACTTAATTTTTTTAAAAAAAAAAAAAAAATCCAAATTTAAGCTTGTTTAAACGGAGCTGGAACATCTTCGGGTACCTGTCCAGCTGGATAGAAAAAGACTAATCAGAAATTATTTTTAATGTATTTTCTCTAACGAAAGCCACTTGTGCTTGTCAAACTTTCCACAGAATCCTGCATATAGAATATGCTATCCAGTCTTTTATATGAAAATGCCTATTCTACTGCCAGGTTTTGGCATCTCTGTAAAAAAACAAAAACAAATTGCAGGTACTGTAGGTATAGAGGTTGGAGAGATAGGCTTGTAAAAAAAAATGTGCAAAAGTGACCAGGTGGTTTTGTCCATCTCTAATTGGCCTTTCCAAGTACAGATCACAAGCAATTGTGTACAATGCTTTCCTCCCCCACCCCATCTGTGCCCTAAAATATTGGACTTAATGATTTTGGCGATGGACTATTAAGGGAGTTGGAGAGGAAGATAACAGGAAATTACACAATTGAAGCAAACAGGTGTAGACAGAAGACTGGAGATTTCTTCTAGTGACTGATCCAGTTTATTTGGAGCTATTAGAAAATGTATGGTAGGGTAGCAGGAATGGTCTGACAATAGAGTAACTGCCTATGACTATCAGCTACCTATGACTATCAGACCAATAGTAGAAAGGAATTAATTCATTGACAACAAAAATGATTACAACTGCACACTTTGGGGGCATTTGGGATCTAATTGCCCATCTGCTTTTGGACTGCTTTTTTCTGTTAAATAGGCTACCCTAGTAATGATAATGAAGGGATTTATACTATAATGAATTTTGGAGAAATAGTTTGCTATTTTATAACAATAAAAGTTTAAAAAGGTTTTCAGGGGCAGGTAACAAAGTTTCCTATTGGTGAGAAAAAGAATTGAAGGGTAATTTGAGGAGATCTTATTTCTGCTATGTGTTATATGTGAATTTTCAAAATTTGTCATGGCAGATAATCAAAACAAGATATACCAATTTGACGGAATGAATGAACTGAAGTTCGTTTTCAGTAAGTTGATATCAAAGGATGCAGCAGTTGATTGAGTCAAAATTGGGCCCATTTGCAGTGATTGCAAATTATGTGTTAGCATTTTGACATTTCCACTGAATAACTGTCTTCATTTTATTTCTGGAAATATAAGAAACCTTGTGTTATTCTTTAATAACATCAGTTCATTCTGAGTTTTAATTTTCCCAATAGCTCTTTATAATTCTAGACTACCTATTTGTCTTCTCTGATGACCTGACTTTTCCATATTCTACTCTATGTGTTTGGTTTTTGTTTTTGTTTTCTGATCTTGAGTAAACTTTGAATAACATAAGTTAGCTTTGGTTTAAAAAAGATGAAATCTGGAGGGCAAATTAATGTTCATATCTAACCCATATATTTTTCAAAAACGTTTTTAGGAACTTAAGTTGAAAAATTACAAAATGTAATCCTGTCTGAAATTTTAGACAAGCTAAAGGTTGAGATTTTAGACAAGCAAGGGTTAACCATTACATTAACCACATCACCCATACTGTAATGCTCAAAAAGAGAAGTGTGGCTTCCAACGTCTTCTACAGCTATCAGCAGTGCTTTTTTTCTAAAAAAAAAAAAAGGTGCCGGACCTCACACACATCATACAACCCGCCTTGCCTACCCTACAAGGTTCCATCCCAAAAAGGTGCCGGATCTCCGTTCTGGGCGTTCTATGAGAAAAAAAGCCCTGGCTATCAATAATAATAATAATAATAATAATAATAATAATAATAATAATAATAAAGTTGGAAGGGATCTTGGAGGTCATCTACTCCAATCCCCTGCTCAGGAAGGAAACCCTATACCATTTCAGATAGTCTCTTCTTAAAAACCTCCAGTGTTGGAGCATTCACCACTTCTGGAGGCAGGTTGTTCCACTGGTTAATTGTTCTAACTGTCAGGAAGTTTCTCCTTATTTCTAGGTTGCTTCTCTCCTTGATTAGTTTCCACCCATTGCTTCTTGTCCTGCCTTCAGGTGCTTTGGAAAATAGCTTGACACCCTCTTCTTTGTGGCAGCCCCTGAGATATTGGAACACTGCTATCATATCCCCCCTCGTCCTTCTCTTCGTTAAACTAGACATACCCAATTCCAGCAACCATTCCTTATATGCTTTAGCCTCCAGTCCCCTACTCATCTTTGTTGCTCTTTGTACTCTTTCTAGAGTCTCAACATCTTTTTTACATCGCGGTGACCAAAACTGGATGCAGTATTCCAAGTGTGGCCTTACCAAGGCATTGTAAAGTGATATTAACACTTCATGTGATCTTGATTCCATCTCTCTGTTAATGCAGCCTAGCACTGTGTTGGCTTTTTTGGCAGCTGCAGCACACTGCTGGCTCATATTTAGGTGATTGTCCACTAGGACTCAAGCTCCCTCTCACAGTTACTACTATTGAGCAAGGTAACCCCTATGCTATACCTGTGCATTGGGTTTTTCTTGCCTAAATGTAGAACCTTGCTTTTTTCACCACTGAATTTCATTTTGTTAGATAGCGCCCAGTGTTCAAGTCTGTCCAGATCCTTCTGTATCTTAAGCCTGTCTTCTGGAGTGTTGGCTATTCCTGCCAGCTTGGTGTCGTCTGCAAATTTGATGAGTTCCCCATCTATCCCCTCGTCCAAATTGTTGATATAGATATTGAAGAGCACTGGGCCCAGAACAGAGCCCTGGGGCACCCCACTACACACTTCCCTCCATGTAGATGCGGTTCCATTGAGGACCACACACTGAGTACAGCCGTTCAGCCAGCTACGGATCCATCTGGTGGTGGTGCTTTCTACCCCACATTTTTCTATCTTGTTAAGCAATAGGTTGTGATCTACTTTATCAAATGCCTTACTGAAGACCAAGTAAATTATGTCCACAGCATTCCTCTGATCCACTAATTTTGTCACTTGGTCAAAGAATGCAATAAGGTTTGTCTGGCATGATCTATTTTTGACAAGCCCATGTTGGCTTTTAATAATGACTTTGTTTGCCTCTAGGTGTTCATTGATTCGTTGTTTGATTATCTTTTCCAGGATCTTCCCAGGTATTGAGGTCAGGCTGATAGGTCTGTAATTTCCTGGGTCCATTTTTTTCTCCTTTTTTTGTAGATGGGAACTACATCAGCTCTTTTCCAGTCCTCGGGTAGTTTCCCTGTGCTCCAGGATCTTTGAAAAATATAGTTCAGTGGTTCTGAGATCACATCCTAGAAGCTCTGCCAGGAGCCTTTGTTGAGATGTAATCAAGCAGCCGCACCTCTAAATACCTCCATGACCACAACCCATAATGTATGGGACAGTTCCCAATATTCCACATAGGCTGAAAAGAAATGAAGGGAAGGGAAGAAAGCCTGGTTTTTAAGTGTCCTGTTGCTATTGCTGCACTGCTGGATATGTCTGCTACACTTCTGCTACAATTTGTTCAGGCAGTTTGTTTTGAGACAAAAAGGTCAAATGGATTCGCATACTGTGGTTTATGGTTAAACTATTGCATATAATACATATTTCTATTTATATCATAGGGTATATACACCATAGCATTAACACACATTTCTCAAAGCATTGTTTGCACAAACAATTCTATGTCAATCAGCCATTGTAACCACCCAGAAAAGCTGGTAATCAGTTTAATAAGAAAGCTTACTTTTTAAATAGTTTCTGAACGTTTCATTGTTAAGCCAAAAACAGGTTTTGCTGCATTTCCTTT